TTTTGTTGGATTTTGCTCTTCTTGAAACACCCATACATTTGACTGCTGTTTACTTTCGGGCTCATACGCGTAAATCCACGATCCATCACCAGTCACGATGTCATAGACGTGTTTCGAAGAACCGGGATCGTTTTTCTTTAGCATTTCTTTCGACCAATCGACACGAGTATTTTTTATTATTTTTTAAATTTTTTTTTACCGATTGACAAATTGTGTGGGATCCAACGCGAATAAATTTTTTCGACAGTCTGACAGTTCATGCAATATTGAATGTATGTTGGTCCCACTAATGCCTAAGGTTGTCTCAATCTCACGATAGGTCACATGATCTTGCAATATCAGTTCACGCATAGCATCAATGGTTTTCGGAACAACAACTGATTTTGGACGACCTTCGCGAAAATCGTCTTGGAGTGAACTACGACCACGATTGAATTCACCATACCATCGATAAACACTTGTCCTTGATGGAGCTTCATCGCCACAAATTGAATTAAGTTCATCCATGCACTGTTGCTGAGTTTATCCACGTCAAAAGTTGTAAAAAAATAATTGCACGAAAATGATCACGATTTAATTCCATTTTGGGGCCAAGATGAATATTTTAATTTACTGTAAACAACACAAATAGCAAACGTATGTCAAAACGTTCTGAGTACGTATAACCTCAAAACATCCAACTTTACGATAGAGCTGTCAGTTGCCAGATTGCAACACCAGGGTTGCCACATCCCGAAACATAAAAGGCAACCTTCGTAGGTCATATTCGTATTCTGAAATTTTAAACAAGTTAACCACTCATTTGTCATACTTGCAAAACGTATGTCACATCGAATCGATTGTCCACTATAATATTCAAGTCAATATAATATTGCAGAGCGTTTAGAAATAATGCGAAAATGTATGTGCTTTGGCAGCACCACTAATTTATAATATAAATACAAGTATGTCTTTCTGCGTCAAATTTTATGAAAATACAAATATTATACGAGATTTTGACCTTGATATCCCAGCAACAATGCGGAACACGTGTTTTTAATTTTTTTCCCCAATATATTTTTCGATGCGATATTAGTTTTCAATTTTTTTAAAAAAAAAAATAGCTTGCATAGCTTAAGTTAATTGTTTGCAACTCGCGTTGCAATTATGGCAGGAATATAATATTTTGCAACATTAAAGAACAAAGGATGCTCTTTCATTTGATGTATTCATTATTTTTAATATTTTTTACTTAATTTTTATATTTTATATTTCGTCAACACAATTTAAAAATTCGAAGATAAAAATTACATTGAGTTCCACGAAGTATTTTATATTAGTCTGGTAAGTTTGAGAGTGGGACACTGAGAGTATTCTGAGAAATTAAATATAAAAGAAATATGTGCTTGCTGTTTAGCTGCAGCGTCTAGTGCAGCATCACGTGCCAGTCAGCAGTATAAAATTACCATCGATATACTTCCACAGATCAATAAATGAAAATATCCCTTCACATCTTAAAATATGCGGTAAATGTACGTATGTCCTTCATTGCTTTAAGAAAATGCAATTATTTTTAATTTAATTGTCTGTTAATTCTCTTGATATGTGTCACTGGCAAATTTTCAAAGACAATTAATTCATTCTTTTCAAATTCTTTCTTTCATAATACATTTTTATTACATAATGTTGTTTTTTTTAATTTCGACGTTTCGAGATGAATTGTCTTTCCATCATCAGATTCAAAACCTTTTAACTTAAATTTAATAATTTAAGTTAACAGATTAAGAACTTTAAAAATAAAATTATTAAATTAGTATGGGCATGTCACCACCTATATCACAGATAAATTAAATTTCGAAACATAAACACTTACTGACATGTCTGGATATCATGTTCATAACTTTTGCAAAGCCGAACCTTATCGCCTCCGCGACTTCGTGAGTAAGTTGACCGGCAACGTTGAATCTTGGTCGTAAAAAAAGGAAACAAATCCTTGCAAGCTGATTGCTTCAGAGCAGATCACATGACGTACCACAACACAAGGCGAGAGAACTTTCCGAGCCAATTATACGCTACCGGTACTGTAGGGTGATTCATTTGGGTCTGCATTTCTCTACCACTTATCAGCTGTGAACGTTTATTCATCATTGTCAGTGACATATATTTGCGATGTAAAAAAAATTGGACGATTCTCACTTCCTTGAAAAAACTTCTTTACTCGTCACCGAAAGAATTTTGGAAACAGGCTCTACATATATTGCCCAATATTTTATTTCGTAAATAGTCAATTTTCAATTTCTTAATAATTCTGGTTGTGACAGCGCAACGCACGCTATATTAAGATAATGGAAATAGCAATAGTATTGATATGTTTGCAAGGCAAGGTTTGTAGCGTCTAAGCGGGCGGGCGGCCTAGGTGCTCCAGTCAACAAACACTTTTTGAAATGTTCTTTCTTTGTGTCACATTTTGAAATTTGGCAGGTATGTACAATATCAGCGTAGAAATACAGTAGTAGTTCTTAAAATTAATTTAAGTATCGACCTAATGTATCAGGTTTATTTTAAAAATTAATTTTTTTTGAAGTACTTAAATAAATGTTTACGAAAATTATATTTATATCAGATGGGCGTGCATCTTTCTAGGCATAATTGCGAGGCAATTGTACTTTTTGAAGGAAAAGGAAGCTGCGTGAAAATGATTATACATTTTCTGAGCGCTCAGAATTCTCCCCTCCCACCCCCACCACCCCCAGAAAATGGCAATATATCAGAGGAGTGTGATAAGGGAAAAAGAGTAATATATTTTCAACCCTCGACCTCATAAAAAAATTTCAAGTCACTAAAAATAGTGATTTGTGAGTGTGCGATTTGACGTGGGATTACTCGTTTGCGATTATTTTGCATTTTCAATTACAATAAATTCCGTTCCATGTTGATATGTTATGTGGAGCGATCTGATCTAACGTACTACACTAAATTAAAGGCTTCGATGGAAGTGGTGAAAGCAGTTTTTTGCTACCTTATTTCCTGCAGTTGCCTAGTACCTTGTTAGTGCTAAAATTGTGTTACAAAATGCTCTGTGCAAATATTTTTACTTTTCCCGTATACGTAAGTATATATGGGGTAATATACGTAGTATAAGGAGAGTTATGTAATGCTGCGGAAAATCGATTTCGAGATTTCGACGGAAACACACGTTGTGGGATCCCATCCGTCCGATGTCTGTGCACACTACTATCGCGTAGGAATTTTTTTCCAAATTTCAGAAATCCATGTCGATCTGGCTCGAGTGGAATCTTTGAGATTCTGAAAAAAATTCTTCTAAATTTGGGCGTACTTTACATTAAGCCCCTTTTGCATTTTCAAAATGTTCTTAAAAATAGCTCCACATGCTTTCTTTAAATTGGTTGCAAGAGAGTAATGCACGCTTATGAAGGTGAATAGGTCCGATTTTCACAGTTAACACTGAATTTTTGAGAATTTCACGTTTGAATTTTTACCTCCTAACAACTACAAAATTGAAGATAGAGGTTTTTCCTTCAAATAAAATTTGCCCTCCACAGTGAGTTCTTTCATTAAGATCTTATACATTTTAGTAGTTTTCGCGCAATATTGCATCTAATATGTGCAATTTTAAAAATTACAAAAACAAGATTTTCTCAAAAATGGTTCTATATATTTTCTTTAAATTTTTGGTAGGTATAGTGCTAAATGTACTCTACAAGATGACATAAGCTCTATTCCTTTGTTTTTTCAACAAATAGAAGTAATTTTTTGACTTGCCTCTCGTGTTAATATTTACATTAGCGGCAATTTATTCATATTATTGTATTTATGAGTACGTGTGGTTTAAATAATGTCATAAGGTTTCTCGAAAACCCTACAGTTTTCTGTGATAACTTGCACAAAACTCTGCATTTTCAGAGAAGTTCAAACTCCATTTTTTTAACCGGCTCCCAATTTTTTCTTTAAACAGTTCAAATGGATAGTGGTAATTGCTATCTTTAATATGACGTAAAGTTCATTTCGGTGAATTTTTAATCTTTTCAAAAATACACAAATGTAAATTATTTGAAAGATGTCTCACGCTCTTGATATGCACATTTCCAGCACTTAGTAAACTCTATTGTATTTGTGAGTTACAGTACATAAAATGACTTCAAATTAAGTTTTTCGAAAATTAAAAAAATCTGTGAAAACAGCTTCAAATTTCGAATATACAGTAGCTTTTAAACGTCAGTTTTTTGAAAACGGCACCAAATTATTCAAAGAAAATTGCCGTTTTGGACAAAGTTTTACCGTTGTTTAATAATCTTAAAATAATATTTCCGTTTTACTGTTAGGAAACCGGAAAATTAAGGAACTCAAAAAATGTGCTTTGGACGACGGTAAATGGCAGCAGGCAAGAATATGTGGCAAGTTCGAATTGCTAACCGAAACCAAAGGAAATAGAAAGCTAATACGGGAAAGTCTGTGCCGTTCTGTAGCACCACTAGTTTTATTTTCGAAGAGCAAATTTGTTTGAGTCGAGCTTGAAAGAAGATTCGCAGTACGAAGGAACGTCGTATCTCAACAGAATTGAAAATTAGTCATTGCCACACAAGTTTCAGGCGAAATATCAAATTCATACATTGTAAATGTCGTGTATGAGAACCATCTGCGCTAGTAATGGTTGTACCGCTCAACATCAGGGAGAAGGGTCCCAACCCCCAAATATCTTTTGACTTTCTCGAATACTGCTTACGTAATATTATAATGCGACAAAAAGACAATTTTGGGAGGTTATAATATTGAAAAAGTTGATAAATCTTGTTCCTTTATGTAGAAAATGACTTCATCGTGCACGGTGTGCAGTCAGAATTCTCGTTTAGTGAGTCCTCGATATCTAAAAATTCGTTTGTGCCAAATGTGTGTCGGTGGTCAACGCTAACGCCCAAACCAATCACGATTTTCAAGGCCCTGCAAGTTTGAAAGCTGTATTTTATTTTTGGGGATGCTTTACATGAATCCTTAATATTTTTAATTACTTTTCAAAATTACTCCAATATTTTAAATTAAGACCATGTACATTAAAAACGTGTCGTAATTTATATTTTTTTGTAATCTTCCAATTTTCACTCGAATAGAACAAAGAAGTTCATTGCGCAGGTTTCATTTTCTCTGAACTACCTGAATGTTCGAAAATTGTGGATGTAGTCGATGATGCGAAAACGAATGTGCTATTGAGCACAATAGTTCATTTCGGCTCCCAAATTTTATCAGTCAGGTGTGTGCTGTTGGTGGATTTGTAAATTGGTTGAACAACATCAGCAATTATTTTTAATTTTTTTAAATTTAAGGTCACGCCAACTACTATGTCATGCGACAACTGCTAGGTCACTAGCGGCATGATTGATTTTAACGTTAGGTATCCGTAAAAGTATCGAGTGTATTAGCAAGTCTGTTGTCAAGAGGACCGCCAGGTAGCATCTACGTGCTCCGGCGTCACTACTCAACGGCCAGAATTGGGAAGGACTTTGGACAGTAGTAGGATTTAGGACACTTCACAGGGGTTGGACCTGAGTTAGCCCCCAAGAAGCAGCCAAGCTCATTTCGTTGTAACCAATTTCACATGCGATTGCCTGGGAATCGAACCTGGGTCTCCTTGGTGAAAGTGAAGTGAATGTCGCTCTGAGCAACAAGATGGCTCCAGCAATGATTGTATGAAGCAATTATGAGAATGAACTGTAAATGAGATTTGTGCAGATATGTAAGGTACACTCAGAATTTACTTCACATTATAATACAACAGTGAAAAATGTGGCTCACTCATTAGCAGAGGGAATGAGACTGCCTGTGTTGGATGAACAGCAGCAGACACCACACAAAAGTTGATTTTATTCATGGCAGATTCTGAGGCAGCCAACTTTTACATGTGTGACTTGATGTGATCCAAGGTGCATTTGCAACTAAGTTATACACATTGCCACACTTCTGTCTGTTACAATGTAGGTAAAATAAATTGTCTTAGCAGTTTTAAGAAGAGTCAGGCGATTTTGGAAAGATTTCAGTTCTCATCTGGCTGTCAGTGTGGTGCCGCATCCTGTGCATTTTTGCCAATGTTAACATCTTTGCTTAAAAAAGATCTGGCGTCTTCCGGACAGTGTCTATTGACTCTAGCCGCGGAAGCCTACTCTTTTACTTTTTCAACCCATTTCTTCTAGTACATGAGTATATTGATATTGTTTTCCCTATGACCTTAAGACTTGTACATACCACTAAAACACCATGTAAAGTAACTTAATGTGATTGACTCGTGTGTTTTCACTAAATGCAAATGTCATATATTTATGTAAAAATATAGCTTTCAGTGTAAATAAGGTAAAAAGATTCTATTTTGACTGACAAAGTGGACCTCTTTCTCCTTTTTGCCCCCTTGCCTTTTGTCATCTATTATGTACACACTGAATGGTGGTAAAAAATTACAAAATGATTGACTTCTGCATTACATCAAGGCACTTCTCTGTAGCACACTAATTTTCAAGCTACAAGTGGTACAATGTCAACTATGAGGATACTGTAATAAGTTGTTGTTTGTTTTTTTTTAGAGATGATTCAACCCTACAGAAATAATTTGTGTTTCAATTTATTATTTTCCTACGATTTATAATATCAAATTTTCTTTATAGTTTAAAATTAATTTTGAATTTTTTAATTATTTTTATTCCATGATATGCGGAAATTACTGGCTTCTGCTGTTGATCCAGTTGCTCAGATATTAGGTTTTTTCTTCTCTTTTGTAGCCTCTATGTGCCTCTAGTGTTTTTGTGCCTCAGAGTTCCCTATGATCCTTCCAGCTCAGAATAGGAATAGCCATTTGGATACCTCCTCTTTGTACATGTAACATGTTCCAACATTGTTTCAGTTGATTCACTACACAGTGGTAGACACAAGTGTTGTTTATCCTCATAAAATGGGCCCACCAAAGAAAAGGGCATTGAAGACACTTTGTAGAGATCTTCTACAGAAAATCATTCAAGAAAATGGTGAGTTATTGGGGAACTAGCATGATATATGCAAGTTTCCGCATTTTAGAAACATTTCAGTGATACAAATGTTGAATACCAAGATTAAAAATTACATCAAAACATAAAAGCATATTTTGCAGCTATTATCACGTTATGTGGAAGTATATTAACATGAAGATGCATGAAAATGCTTGATAGTAATTCATTTTAAAAGGGTTATAATATTCTGAATTTTACAACTTCTCAAAATCTTCTTTTAGTATGATTTGACTTTTGTTACTTCTATTTTCACTACAGATCTCATTAATATATAGAAAGTTATTAAATTGGTGGATCTTAGTTAAATCTAAGCTAGTTAAATGCCTATAGGCCCAGTAACTGAAGTAATAGTGTCATGTGTTAAACAAACTATTTCCCAGTAATATATCGGCAGTATGAAATTCCATGAAATTCCTTCCTCCTGATTTTGATACTGTCCTATCAAATACTTCAGTAGAGAAATAGTACTCGAGTCGTGACACTTCAGTAGAGACTAATTCTTGATATTCGTGCACATAAGAGCATGAATCTCAAGAATGTTTCATTGTGTTCTCACTTTCAAAATATTTATATATACACTTAGAAAGTATTGATTGTTGGAAATGTATGAAATTATGTAATATGAAGTAAAAGTTAGTGTGTTTTTAATTATATATAAAAAATAATAAAACAACAATAATAAAAATAAAAAAATTAGAGGAAGTACTGTGAGTCTGTATTGAAACATAAAATGAATTGATGATATAATCATATTGGTGTGCAATGTGAAATTGTCTTATTGATTTGATAGTGTATAATTTGGGATCATCATCATACCAGTTGTTGTCAATATCTGTGTGTAATGATTTTCATAAGCAATTTTCTGGAATACTCATTAAGGATTCTATTATATAAAGATTAAAACCTAATTCAATTGTTTTGTTGCCACATGTGAGCATGGTAAGTACGAAGGCAGGAATTTGAAGCACATCATTCATTTCTTGCATATTTTGAGGAAACATGAACTCAAGACTTTCGCACTGTTTCAGTCTTTAATTATTTAATTCAAACAGAGTGTGTGGAAGAAAAAGTGTGCTAGCTCCCGCCTTTTGGCCATTGTTGGTGGTGGTCATCTAAACCAAAATGCATGATGATCGCTTTGGGCAGATCAACAGAAAGCCGAATGGAAATAGTTTATTGTAATGCTTTATTGTCTTGTGATTGATTTTCTTTGGTTTGAAGTTTTATTTAATATGTAAGTGAATGCTGTAATTGATACTATAAAGGGAGGTCTAGTCTGGTTTATTGTGAATTAAAGTTTTACTTAGATGTTCCAACATGCCAACATTCTAAGAACATATTTTGTTGTATTAAGGTTTTATTCCAATAAATTTTGTGTAAATTACCCTAATAATTAAAATTTGTGTAGTAAGTAATATTATCCTAATAATCATATCAACAAACTTTCAAAATTATCATTATTGAATACATGTAAACATGTAATTGTATAATTATTGAATACATGTAAAAAAAAATAATTATGAATAATAGTAATGTAAATAGGAGTATCCGTCAGAAATTGGCCAAAAATTTATAACTTTACTTGGAATTATAAAAGATGATGCAGTTGTTTTACTCTGCTTCATGGTAACTATCAGAAAATATGATCAGATTTTTTTTTAAGGATACAATAATCCCTGGGTAGAGGATATTCAAGATTGCCAAAATACCATTTCATGCGACCTTTTTCATTAGGCTTTTGTATATTAATTCATGTTGGCAGAAAATGTACACACACATTTACTGTAAGATTACAATAATAAAGCATGATAAAAGCCACAAACTAATCAACTTATGTCCATCGCTACACAAGCACCACTCTGAGGCAGTACCCTGTCTAACTGAAGTTGGAACACTTTCTCTTCTACATGCTAAGATTTAAGTATTGTTATTAACAATTCTAAAATTTTTCTCGTTTGCTTTTTTTTTTAAGATGGTGGTCATGACAGTGCTGAGGATGCACGTGCTGCAATGGAAATTATGCTTTTTAAAGTGAAGGAAGATTTGAAGACATGGTGAAAATTCAATACGATTGGTCTGTTGTTAATTTTGTTATGCCAGTGACACCGATCCAGCATGACAGAATTGTCGCATTGTCACAGCATTCTTTTAAGAAATTGTGCCTTTCAGGGAAAAATGACTGAGTGGGCTTATCTGCAGCAACAACAGTATTCAACAAAATAATAAGCTGCACTATAGCCAAATGTTATGTAGTATATTTTGTTAATTAATTTTTCCATAAATAAAACATAGTTGATGCTTGTGAACTTCTGGTGCTGGGTTGTGTCCAAGTACCTGTCTCCTGTACCCATTTGAATAGCACAAATGAAATTCCTGATATCAGGTAACTGAAGAAATTATCTGAATTCTGCTCACAGAAACAGTTGTTTCAAACCAATCATGCAACAAAATTTGTTATAGGAACACCATGACTGATGTTTTAAGGTGTTTAAAATATAAGTAATCAAACATTTTTGCTGTATTTTTGTCGGGTTGTACTGAAAGCTGTTCCCCTACCATCCTGTCAATTTAATATTTTCATTTGTAGTTATTATTTGACTAAAATATGTATGTTCACTGTGACATTTGTTTTGCACTTCTTTGATTTCTGAAGGTTTGTATGAAAATTTGTGTGTGTGTGTATGTATTTTGTGTGTATTATGTGTGTATTTTGTGTGTATGTATGTGGAAGCATATGCATGTTCATGTGCACATGCAGATGTATGTAGTATGTTTTACTCATTTGTATGAAGTATATATCTGTTTGCATGCGTGATAGTACGTACATTTGCATGGTGCTTCAAACAAAAATAGCCAATGCTTCAATAAATTTTTGGGAACAAAATGAAAATTAGAAAGTATACTTCAATACTTTCAAATTTAAAGGGCTTCGGTGTAAAAATGATTAGATTCAAAATTTGTGTGTCCTATAATGTTCGACTCCCACCTTATGTTGTCCATGTGTTGTGATTGTTGGTTCATTTTATGGGTTGTAGATCTCCCCAGTTGTCATTTTCTATGCAACCCACTTAAACTCCTTTATTCAACATGTACCTTTGCTTGTAACTCGAAAACATTGCTGTATGTTTCACACCAGTACCCTTCATTTCTTTTATCTGTAAAATTTTGTTATTTCATTTGTTATTGATAAAATTAAAGAATTTTGTGATCTGTTGTAGTAAGATTTATCTTTCTAAGATGGTTATTCAATTTATTCTAAAATTACTTATTTTGCGCAGTTAACATACATACTAACATTTGACATACAATTAAGACATACCTTTGGAGCAGCGAACTTCTTTTTCGATAGCACAACTCTGTTGAACATGAGGTATGTCAATGGATGCGAACTGTCTCACTCAAGCAGTTTTCACAGTTCCATCAAAACAGAGGATCATCAATACCTAACCTGAATGATTGGGTATTAGGTGTTTAAATCCGACATTTATATTTAATATATAGAATACATGTGTTTGGCTACTTTCTTTGAAGCGATCTTATATGTACATATGCATATCGGTAGGCAGATATGAAATTGTAATAATTTATGTCTAATGTTTTGCGATGCATCCCATTCCATCCAATACCATATGTACTGTTTTTTAGACAAATGCATTTGGTGTTGAAAATTGGTGAAGATCCTGAGTGGAAAGAGCAAAAGCAAAGAGGCAATGTATGGGAAGTACCCCAGAAGCTCCAAGCCTCTGAACTCTTAGTTATCAAAGAAAATGAAACTTGTACCTACTAAGAATAAACAGGAATTATGTCTTGAAACTAAACTTATGAAGAGGAAATATTCATTAAGTGGATAATTTCAATGCAGTGTAGCCTGCAAACCATTTTTTTATTTCGCAGGTCTCCAGAAGTCTTGTTAGTTTTTATTTATTATTATTTTTTTTTAGAAAAGATAAAAAGACCCGAAGATTTTATGCTTTAATTTGTAAATGTTGTAATAAATTGTATATGAATTTTTTTTTATAAATGCTGCAATGCCTTAAAGTACAGTATTCTGTTACTTTTTCCAGAATTCCTTGCTGTTCTTCTCTCTAAAATCTTTACAGCTCTGGAGTTTACAAAGCAAAAATTTTACAAGTTTTCCTTTCCTCCAATCATGGAAATTAATTAAATTTATCAATAAGTTGAAGTTTCTCTTTCTCACAATGATCTTTCATTTTTTGATGATTTGGGAATGTAGTTGGAAGTTAATATTTAAAGGGGAAGTGAAAAAATCTCATTCCTATTATTTGACCAAGTGTGTATTTTTAATTTTATATCGCTATGGACAATTGATCACCAAGGATATGGGTCATTCCATCCAAAAAGTAGGCACTCTGACACCACATCTCAGAATTCAAAAATATTTTGCCATACCACCATCAATCAGGTACAATATTTGTGTCCAATCAGCCATTGTTTAGCAACAATGGGCACTTGAAATGTTACGTAAGCATTATGTAGACCTTTCTGTATAATATCCCCCCTCTCCCGATGCTATGAAAACAAGCAAAAATATGAATTTACACGTATTTAAAGGAGAAATGTGAAGAATAATTTCTCACTAAAGATATTTCTTTTACGGTGAGTCGTCAAAAATAAGGAATTAACAAATTCCAAGAAATGCAATATATGGAATTGTAATGTTTTTAAATTATTAAATTTTGGAAAACTGGTGAAACTATTTTCTCACAGAGAAGATATATTTTCCGGGCTGGTAGGCCGTGAAAGCCTACGATACTATATATTTCCTCACAACTGAAAATTTAATCATGGAATCTTCAATGGTTTTAAAGTTTTGAATAAAAGTTTCTTACCGGCACCCCGTAAACGCCATTCAACTGCTCCAGCTGCCGCGCCGCAGCACACTTCGTCAGGACTCTGCGTTACGCTTTCCTTTCTCGCCACCGCTTGCGCAGTAGAGAGAAAGTCGTGTAATGCTGCGCGAAAAAACAGCGACTGTTTGGCAGAATACTTATTACAAGGTCCTGGTAACAACAATGAAGATAAATCTTATTCCTATATGTAGTAAATGTCTTCCTCTAACACACTGTGTCCTGAGATTTCATGTTTTGTGCATTCTTGATACCGAAAAATCTTCAGCCAAAACCTCTGTCCGTCCGCTGTCTGTGTACAACGCCAGCGATTCAGCCGATGTTTTCCAAAATTGATCTGGCTGATGTCGCGGCCCCTTGAATTTGAAATCGATATTTTAATTTTTGGGGGTACTTTACTTTAAACTTTGTCATTGGATAGTGTGAAGGACGTTGAAGAGAATGGCGCAGGTCTCATGTTTGTTGAAAACCCTGATTTTTCGAAAATTCAAAAACTGTTTGACGTCTACCTACAACTTCAATTGTGAAGATACTATTTTCTTAATGAAATTAATTGATAAAAAACAGATTTTCAAATAAGGTCATGTTGATTTTTAAAAATATTTGTGTGTGTGCGCTATTGGCTACAAATAAAGTCGCCCGCTCCGAATTTACTACGCTTCGTGTTGAGAGGTGTTTGAAAGCTATTGTTATTCTTATATAAGAAAGTAGATTGAAGGAAGGTAATGGAGGAAGGTAAGGTAAGGTTTAATTAAGAACAAACATATTACTTCTTTACTCCAAGAAATTTTGATCGCTGATATGGTATTTTTCATTTCTGACAGAAATGACTCTTGTTCCTGGTTATCGAAATAAACGCAGGTGTCCACCACAGCAGCTTCCTTTTGAATTGGTTGGGTTTGGATTACATTAGCAATATTTGTAATACTTTACATGAAAGAAAAATTGAATACTATCATTTTTGCCAACATTTTTCTTTTATATTATTATTTACGCTGTCTTGGGATACAATGCAGCAATTTAGATTTGAGTTCATTTTTGAACGGCAACGATGTAATGTAATGAAATGTTGAATTTATTTGAATTCCTTAGATTATCATTGATATGCGACCATTATAAGGCATTGTTCTATTTATTTTTAAGTTTTATTTGATGTCTAAAACAAAATCCGAGTGTAACGTACTATTGGGGGAAATGTATTCTGTGACCGTTTTCGTAAATTCTGGTATCCCTACTCTAACCCATTTTTATGTTGAATTCTTAATGCTGATGGAAACTAAATTTTGTTGTTCTTCGATTAGTAAAGACATTTTGGGGAAATTTTCTTAGGTGCGAAAACATATAAAGCGTTTAGCATTATAAGTTAATACAAGCAATATCGTGTAATCCGTGTTATAATGAGCATGGAAAATATTACAAATTATAGTGTTTAACAATTATTATTATATATTTTTCGGTCGATTTCCATTTGTTTGCCAACGCTGTTAGTGTTCTTGCGTTGAAAATGCTCTTGCCAACCGCCCGTCGGATCTTTGAAGCAGCGTTGGCAATCGTGCTGAAGCGTAAGCCGCCGCTAGGAGATCGTATTGTTTAAGTTTTAATTATTTTACTTTTTCGCACACTGCTTACGCAGAGTATTGTTAAGTTAAAAAAAAACTCATCGGATATGTTCGTGAATACACTGCATCTGTTATACAATGTCAGATAATGTAATTTTCATTTAAAGTTTTGAATAAAAAATCTATTACTTGAAACTTGAATTTTGTCACCAAATGTTCTACAATTTGTCATGAGTTTTACAAAAAATGATAATTGAAGTGTCTTGACTCGGAGAGACATTGTAGTATAAATAGTACTACATAACCATTACTAAAGGCGAGAGAGTATGTGCTGTTTTAGCTCCAGTACTTTACTTTCTCGCTACCGCTTACGCAGTAGAAAGAAAATTATGGAAAGCGGAAGAAAGCGGCGAATTTTCGACAGAAAAACTATTGTCGGATCCTGGTAACGAAAAATTCGATAAATCCAGTAGTTAAATCTAGAAGAAAAATCCCTTATCACGTTCGAGGCTAGAATCCATGTTTTGTGGCTTCTTGATACCGAAAAATCGAGTGACGGCAACACATCTGTCCGTTCGTCTGTGATCAACAATAGCGTTGAAACTATTCATCTGATTTTCTCCAAAATTGAGCTTCCCCTATTATCCTGGCTGATGTCGCAGTTCCTTGAATTTAATACCGAAATGTTAATTTTGGGGGTACATTGCATGAAGTACCTGGGACATTTAAAACAAAATGGCTCCATTGTTTTTGATTACATTTTGTTTGTATAAAGTGTAAAAGGACGTTTAGGAGAATGGTGCTGGTCTCATGTTCGTTGAAAAAGATTTATCGAAAATGGCAAACATTCAAACTTTCATCCAACTACAATTATGAAGGTATATTTTTCCCCCTTACTTAAATCTGCTTCTAAAGTTAGATTTTGAAGTCATGTAAAATTTTTCACAATTTGAGTCCTTTTCGAGTAATTTTGCGTGGAAAATACTGGTGAGATTGTACGTGCTGTTTTACCCCCACTAGTTGTAAATAAATTGTACAATTTTCAATTTATATTTCATGTATTTTAATCAATAATCAAGTATATATTTTCAGATAATAAGCTCTACGCAATCGAAAAGATCTTACGATTAAAAATATATTGATACTTGACGTTTCTTTAATTATTAGAAGGTATCAATCTCACCTGGGATATTATTAATATTAGTTACTTATCATAATTTATTCTCAGCTCACATATTGACAGATCAAATTTATTCCTACAAATGTACAAACTGCTCTTTCTTTTGCAACACAGCAGATATCCAGTCTGTACGAAATTTCTTCCGAGATGAGCGAGA